AAAAAAAAAAAAAAAAAAAAAAAAAAAAAAGGAGAAGAGAGAACATTCAAGGGTCAAACAAAACATCAGAGTAATACAGCAGAGGGCAGTGCTAGACAGCAACAGGATCCAATGAATGAAGACCAACAAAGTCAAGTAATTACCTTCACCAGGTATCCAAGAGTACCCTTCCCCACATTATAGCATTTCAAGTAAAACAACTCAGAGGAGAGTAAGCTAGAGGCAGAGGAAGCAAACATGACTTCATATGGGTAGCAAGTTCATGTATGAATGCCCAGAGGGACGGGGTTTGACCGCTGAGCCTCACGAGCTACTGATCCTGTTTGCTACATGTTTGACTGGGACCAACTGGGCCTCCCTGATCAACCACTTATACTCAGGGAGATCAGAAGGAGCAGTTTTTTTGTTTAGTGTTTCAAGGGCAAAGTTTCAAGGATCTGCTTTTTGGTTTACTGGCAAAAAGGGAAAACTTCACAGTTTCAGGTTAAGTATACAGATCACCCAGCATCCACGATGCCCTCTATTAAGGAAAAGGGTTTCTCCAATGTATTTATCCATTCTCAGCTACCTGGCAGGGTTCTAGTTAGTACCACCTCAGTCAAAACCATTCAAAACTCAGTCTTCACCAAGCCTCAGAGGATTCTTCATGCTTGAGAAGCATAGAAGATACTTGACTGTAATCAATATAAATTCCCTTCTTAAATGTCTCATGTCAGTGTAAAAAGTCTCAGCACGTTTTCCTTGTGAGATATTCTAAATTGGGTTTAGATGGTGAATGGTGGGCCTTTAATTGGCCGTTGTATAAGTCCTGTCACCTGGTGGGGACTAGAAAGCCTACCAGAGAGCCCTGTGCTCTGACTCTAAGGCTTCCTCAATCCAGGGCTGGAAAGGGAGGCAGCAGGCCCAACAGGGATGGAGCTTTGGTTCACGTGTGTCTTAGTAAAGACAAGGACAGGAGCCCACCTAAATTTAGAAAGGGCAAGAAAGTGTACAAAAAACTTTCATGTGACCTGATCCCCTCATCCCAATCCCCAATCTATTCCAGCACAGGATAGGAGGAGGACGAAAGATCTGGGAATTTAACTGGGCCCCAACTTTCTAGAATTTATATCCATTGCCTAAAGGAAGAAAATTTACTGGTTTAAAAGGCTTGACATGGTCTCCCCCTAGTTACATCCCTATTCCCCAAATCTCTGGCCAGGACAGTCCTCTGGAATATGGCTACTTGCTTGAGAGAAACTTATTTTCCTGAAGTGTCTTACCCAAAAGAGATGCTGGGTAATACGCATACAAAAACAAAAAAATAAATAAATATTAATGTCCAGAAAGGCTTTGTGGGTTACACTATTTACTTGGAAACAGCCTGGAATGCTGCTGAGTCCCACCAGGCACAGTGTCAGGCTGAGGCCAGGGACTCCCAGAGCTCACCTGAGCTGGGTGAGGTAGTATGAGCTCTGAGGTGCCACGACGTGAGAATACAAGATTGAGGGCCCTCTCCCAACCTTCTTTGGGCAACATGCCTTCATAGACCAATTAAAAATGGAGCCAGCCACAGGGACTGGGTCACCTGAGGGCCTGAACCAGCTGTCATCCAACAGCGCCCCCTGGAGGTGATGCAATGACAGACTAGGATCAATTCCAGCAGGTCAAAGGTGAACTGCCAAAGCTTTAGCACTGTGAACACAAAAGTTACCTAATTGGGACAGGCAGTATGCACCCCCTGCTACACACCACCAGTTATTCAGGTCCCTTTAATCCTGAAGGGCTCACAGTCCAACACTCCACTACCACCTGGGTTCTCTCATCTACGTTACAAGCCAAATCCTCTTGAATGGGAGACTGGATATTAAAATATTAAAATATTAAATATTAAATTAAGGCAAGGCTGCTTCTGTCAGAGACATCTCCCATTTCCCACCAGGAAACTCAAGGTCAATGGAGGCAGGCAAAATGACAGGTGATTATATCAAAGTGGTTCCCTATCCTCTCTGCCCCACAGGGAAGGCTTGATATCCCAGGCCACTGCTCCACAAAATTACAATTCTTTGGAAATGAGGAGAAATGAGGAGTCTCCTCTCCTGTCCATCCAGGTTGCCATATCTGGAAGCACAGCAGGACTAACCCCATTTGCTGGCAAGGAGTCATCCCAAACTTTGTGCCCTATAACAGAAAGCTTTGCTGCCAAAATTTTCATTGCCAATCAGCAGATTAGGGCCATGGAGCAACCAGACACCTCCATCCCTGACCCTTTTCCCAGTTAAAGGTTGACACTGGAACCTGAGGTGAGTGGCCCTGCTGACTAGTCCTTTCTGAATGACCACATTCCCCAAATCCTTCTCATAGCTGGTTGCCCCAGTTGAAGGTTTAGCAGTAACACCCACAGTGAAAACCTCTGTTTACCTCCTTTATCCTGTGAGCTGTTGATTGGATTCTTAGCAGCATAAAACCTATTGGTAAACTAAAACTAGAGAAGCTGGGGAAGAGAATCTAGCTGACACAACTGCTTGACTAGACCCCAAAGCCAGCCTCAAAAGAATAAAAAATATAGCCCTTCGTGGGCCAGAACAGGTATGGAGGTAAATGCAACAGAGCCATTGCATTCTCAAAGACAGTAACAGCTTATGTGCTATGTACTTCTTCTCTCTTCTAAAAACACAACACAGAATTCTTAGCAAGGCAAAGCTGTAGCTTCAGCTGGGAAGAGACCAACAGCCATCAGAAAACCACTGTCCTGGCTGCCGCCCACGAACTCCCCCGGCTCTGCTGGGACCCAATCAGCTGTCTGGGTTCTTTTCAGCCTCTTTGGAATGGATAATGTACATGAAGGTCTGCTCAATGGTGAAGTCAGGTGGGAGGCTGCCTTTGTGCACACCGACATGTTTGCTCATGAGGTTAAGGGTAGAACTGTAGTGGCCACAGACTGTGCAGCGGTACATGAGTGCACCTGAGTGGGTCTTGAGGTGGCACTTGATGGTCGAGCGGCCTCGGAAGAACTTGTGACACACCTTACACTGGTACGGCTTCTCACCCGTGTGGATCCGCCGGTGGTAGTTGAACTCACTTGTGTGGGCAAACCTTTTGCCACAGACCTTGCAGCTATATTTGCTGTTCCCAGGTTGGCCCTGCAGAGCCAGCTCCTCACTCAGAAACTCCTCGGCTGGCAGCTTTCGCTTTTGGAGGGCTGGGTGCTGCATCCCCAAGCCAGGCCGTACCTCGACGCCACTGTTGCACTTGTGCTGGCTGACGTGGTAGCGATAGGCAGCCTCTGACCTGAAGCTCTGGCTGCACAAGTGGCAGTGAAAGAGGGCATCTTCCAGGCTTTGGTGCACAGCCATGTGCTTCTCCAGGAGGTGCCAATCTACAAAGCTGCTGGCACAGACAGAGCAGGAGAAAACAGAAATGCCCAAATGGGAGAGTGTGTGCCACATGAGGCTGCAAAGGTTGAGGTGGCGTTGGTCACAGACGCTGCAGGCCTGGCCCTTCAAGTTCAGATGGTCGAGGATGTGGCCTCGCACCACTTGGAAATCTTTGGCCAATGCTTTCCCACAGGCAGAGCATTTCAACTCTGGGGAGGCTGTCCCTGAAAAGAGACTCAGCTTCCCAGGCAGGGGTTCATTGGGGTGAACGATGATGTTGTTCTCAAATATTCCATCTCGTCGGTGAAGTGTTAGCTGCCATTGGGTAAAGAACTTTGTTTCACACATGTCACAGGAAAAGAGGAAAATGCCAATGTGGGAGAGGACATGAGTCACCCGAGAGTTTCGATCCTGGAAGTGGGTCTCACAGACCTTGCAGTTGCCTGTCAGCAGGTCTACATGGTCCCTAGCATGCTGTCGTATCAGTTGAATGTTGGGCTCGAGAACTTTCTTGCACACCTGGCAAAGCATAGCCTTATTCTCCCGGTTGTCATTCTCTCCAAAGGTTAGCTCGTCCTCACTGTCATCACTTAGCTCAATCACTTCCTCCACTGTCCCAATCTCCTCAGTGGCATCCTCAAACTGCAAGTCATCGTCCCCCAGGTCCTCCAGCTGGAGCTCATCCATCTGCCCAAACCCTGCATCTCTGGAGTGGTCACTATTGCTCAGACAGGAATTGGTCCCAGTGGTGATGTCAATCGCATTGTCGGGAGTGAAGAAGCTGTTTTTACTGAAATCTCCATTGCTCTGAACTTTGTATGGTTGACAAGAGCTCGTGCTTGTCCGAACGGCTGTGCTGACACTGCCTAGGACTGGCTGGGCTGCCATACTAGTAAGAGACATGAAAGGAGCAGGGACATCATGGTCTTCTGTCTTCGGTGGCAACGGTGGCTGTGGCAGGGGCAGGCTGTGATTAGTGTCACTGGCAACATTTCTCTCTTCCTCCTTATAGCTTCCTCCAGCATCAGCTGGCAATCCATAGTTTCTATCAGGACCAAAATGTTCCCCACCACCCCGGAGTTCTCCAAGGGGATGGGCAGGATCTGCTGAAGGACTAGTCAGAGTACCAGACTGGCTCTCACTGGTGCTGGCCAAAGATTTGGCCACTGTGGCACTTTCCAAGTCAGGAAAGGTTGAGTGGCAGGCCTGAAGAAGGTCCTCCATGCCCAGGCGCTCAGCCACCTCATAGATGACCCCAACGTTGATCAGGTCTGTGAAAAGCTCTGATGTGTAGACAAAGCTCAGAATCTTCTCAAAGTTGGCAGGGGTGATGAAATCTACCACATAGGTCCTGGCAGCATCAAGCCCAGTATTCAGAAAGAGGTTCTGGAAGTAGCCAGCTGCACAGGCCAGCACAGCCTTGTGTGCTGGGAAGGAACGGCTCCCCACCACAATGGTGACATCGCACATGGTCTCCGAGAGCCGACACTTATTGAGTTCCTTCAGCAGGTTGTTGGGGTGATTGGTGCTTTGAAGTTTGATCCTCATGCCCATCTTAGCAGCTCCTATGAAGGTGTCTACTTAGCAGCACGGTTAATCTGTGAATAGCAAGAGAAAAAGATGGAGGGCCAAACACATCCCTGACAGAAAGGCTCTGGAGTGCATACATATTCTGCTGGGGGCAAGGACTACAACAATGGCAAGACAATAACCTGTCCCCCTGCATATACCCAAACCCAGAGAAATTATGACAAAACCCAAGGAGTGAAAAAAATCTGAATTGCTTGATCTTTTGTCAGTAGGAGGATGAGGGGCTCAAGCTAGGGTCTTACAGATAAGTAGAAAGCATTCCCTCAAATACAGTCCTGTATTTCATTTTCAGTATAACTGGCTCAAACTTTCATGTTTTCATGTCCTCTTAGATACATACTTTCTTATCTCAGTGAGTATACTCTCTTCCCTCAAGACACCAAATGCCATGTATACAACTTCAACACAATTATCAAAGCTCCATTGGGTACTCATGAAGAGTCAAGGGGACGCCATCTTTTAATTTTGTAACTGCTATGTACTTTCTGTGTCCCTAAATAAATCTCACACTCTTGAATTGCTATCTCTCTCTTTCTATGCTATATGCCTATTCTGGCCATTTTACTACAATACAGGGCAATTCCAGTATTCTATGGATGAAGTTCACTCAGAACCAAAAACAGTAAAGCAAAGTAGAACACAACTATATAAATGTTATTTGAGTATGCTTTATTCTCTTTTACCGCCCTTTTCAGGTGCTGGGCTTGACTTGCGCTATACTAACACCTTTACTCAATGCCTTGAGAGACACATCTAATTAGCTAAGACTCCTCAGACTAGTTCAAAACCACTTTTTCCCTTCTCCATCCTTGCATGCTTGTTCAGTCACAACTCGCCCAGTGCAGCACAGCCCTTTTGCCCTCTCACCAGATTCTACCAACAACGCCCAACTTTTTCCGGGGCCCAGCAAGCTTCTGAGTATTGTTAGGTACCAGGCAGGCACCTCCCCGGCCCCGGTGGCCATTCACGGTGGGCGGGTCAGGGCACTGGGCAGCCTGAGAGGGGACGAAAAGGGGGTATTCGGAACTTCCGAGGAGGACACCCCTACAATCCCACCCTCAGCTGGGTCGAATCTGCAGGGGCTGGGCCTTGGAGCG